TTGTCACAAAGCCAAGAGTACACTGCTTAAAGCTGGTATATTTAGGGAGAGAGACTCTGGTCCCAGGGTAGGTGACACTATGGGACAGTGGGGATGGAGCCAGACGCTCACAATGGTGGGCAATGAACAAGAGAAGACTCCACGTTGGCGGTTCTTGGGAAGCTTGGTTGAGATGGAGATAAAGACACCGTCTCTCCTGGGACGTGGAGGGGATGCAGGAACATGGTCTCCTCCTTATTTGCATTCTGGCCTCTCAAGGAGGAGACAGAGCTGTGTGTGTGAAGCCTGAGTGGAGAGATCTTTAACCAGGGAGAGGGAAGAGTGGACTCTGCAGAAGACAGTGCCCACCATGCTGGGAAACACCGGGCCCACATCCCACCAGCACACTGTGCATTCACATCATCTGCAAATATGGAGGTTCCTAGAAGACAGACTTGAAAATTAAATGTATCGATATTCCTTAAAACCCCGTAAAAATGCCATAAAGGATAAAAGAGTCAAATTATTTATGTACAGAATCTTATGACATAGAAATGTGAAATAAATTTTAAAATGACGATGCTAAAAATCATGTTAGTTGTCAGTCTTTGATGGAGTAGCATAAAGAAACAAAGGGTGTGTTTTTAGGCTGTGATTAAAATTTTATAACATCCAGTTGGGGACTGGAACAACTAAGATCTTGTAGAGTTGCTTGAAAAGTCTGAACCTCACAGGTATTCTATGAATTTCCAAAGGAGATGGAGGGTTTCTCAACCCGAGAACATAAATTCAACGGGACCATGGGGCTGAGTCTGCAGCAGGCTGATAAGCAGGACAATGAGAGCAACTTAGCTCAAGGTGGCTCTGGGAATGTGAACTACTTAACTCAAACACAGTGCAGAATCTCAAACTCTGCTAGCACATCACGGGGAAATTACTCAGACTGTGTATTCAGGAGAATTTAGGAACTGAGGTTGATGCAATAGGGGCACTAACAAAATCCAAGAGAGTAGGACAAGGTTCAAGCATCTCCAAGTGATCCTCTATTGTCCGGATATTGCCATTGTTGTTGAATAACTTGAGGCAGTAATGGGGCTGTGAAATTGGAAGTAAAATGGAGTCTCCCTTCTGTAAGTGTGTCCATGCAGCAAGGTATATGAGAAACATGAGGAGCAGGGGCAGGAAGAGGAAGACGCTCAGACTCCACAGAAGACAGTGTTCTGCAAACCAGATTCTGTCCTTCT